AATAAAACAGAAATTACAGCTCATTAGAAAAATGAAACAAAAATGTAAATAAAAAGGGCAGAAAATGAAGCAGAACTGCTGCAGGGCAGCAGCAGAAAATGGCAGCAGGAGCAGTAAAAGCAAACAGCAGGCGGGCGTAAAAAGGATTCAACAACAGGATATGCCAAGGCAGACGACGAGTGAAAAATGTAAATAAAATATTGCACAATGTATGAGCAGGGCTCGTCTGGGGCATGGCGAATGTGGGTGGCTGGCAGCCACTTGAGCACGTTGTCAAGGGTGTCAGGGTGTTGGCTGTCTGTCTGGCTGTCTGTCTGCCAACAGCAATAGCAACAGCAGCAGCAGCAGCAGCAGTAGCAACTGTGGCAACAACAACAGCAGTCGGGACACATTATGCGTCGTTTAAATAGCCATAAATCTTGCATAAAAACGCGCCCCCACCAGAGTAAGGCACAGAGCCAGAGAACCAGAAAGAGAGAGCGAAAGAGAGAGATAGAGATGGTTAGCGAACTTGACTGCAACTTTAATATGAAAATCTGTTTGGGCAGGACTAACGATGACAACGCCCCAAACGTCCTGCGCCATATTTGCAACGCTAATTTAGCAGCAAGTCAGCAGATTGCGCCGTGGATCAGGGCCAAGCGCTGCCAAGCGAAAGCTGACAAGCCAAGAAGGCCAACAAGCCAGCGGGCCATCAGGCGCCATTAAAAACTTGCTAGAAAATTAACTTGACCAGGACGCAGGATGTCAAATTGAATTTGCCAAGGACCTCAAGGCGTTGCGCCATCAATATGAACTCAAAGGGATCAGCGTTAAATGTTGCACGCAACGCCAACGCCATCCATCTTACTTAATGTCAACTGCAGCTAGCTTGGACTGAGCCCCAGTCCCCCCCTTCCCTCCTGCCGTCCAATGGCTCATTATGCGACGACAAAGCAACTATTACTACATATACTATATACTATTAAAAGCCAGCAGCAGGACTTTCACGCTTTTATGATTTGCTAACGACATGAGTTTCAGACCGTTGGCTGCTGTTTAAAAATCAATTTCGCTGCTGCTGGCAGCCGTTGCAGCTGCAAGCGCAAGCACGCCCCCTTTTGCGCAAGCCGCCCTCGGCCATGTCATCTTCTGTTTATATTCTTGTCATGTCACTGGCTGCAACAACGCCTCCTACCTCAAATCGCAGCCACATCAGCAGCAGCAGCAGCAGCAGCAGCAGCAACACAACACAAAGCCAATAGCTGTCAACATGACGTTACGGTTCGCTCAGCCTCACGCCCCCAACTGACGTTGGTTGCCTTGTACCTGGTACCCTGCCCCCCCCCCCCCCCCTAGCTCCATCGCCAATCCGATGCCCTTGCATATTCTAGCCAAGCCGCCTGCTGGCATGCGTCAGGTGTGCCATTTTAATAAATTATGCATCCTGCTAAATGCTTAAACAATTGAATTTTATATTTACATAATATGTAATATGCTGTGACATCATTATGCAAAGGAGGCGTGACGCTTGGGTGGCTGAGAAGTAAAAGCAACTCCAAGGCGGACGCCTGATTGAATTATGTTTCGTGCTGAGTGGCATCCAAAATATGACGCAAAGTGTAGCCAGGCTTTGGGCTGAGCGCAGAGGGGAGCCAGAGAGAGGGAGAACGTAAGGCTCTGTGTCTGTATTCATTACAGTCTTAACTCTTTACTGTCTTTAAATTATATACTAAATGAAATTAAGCGGAGTTCCACAGCACAAATTAATCATTGTGAACACAGCGAGCTGCAACTTTCGACAGATACTTAAGCAAAACAAAAATTTGTTAAGCTTTTGCCAACTTTATGACGTTCGAGCTGAGCTTGGCAATGCCAAGCAATATATATTAATGTATATATAAACATATATGTTAGGTATATTTAGGTATGAGAATAACTTAAGCTGGAACTTAAATGTTTTTCGACTATTCAACAAGTTTTTAAAACGCCTTCTGCCTTTCCTAAGTATATCAAATAATCAATAAATCATAGCAACAATTTGAATGCTTCAACGTTGCATAGTTGAAAGGCTCGAACAGGCAAGCGCTTGGTACTCTGTATAGAAATTATACCTATTTGAAGCATGAGAAAAAAGTCACACAGACATCAAATAAATCATGCTGTGATATTTTGTATTAAATGGCATGAATGTATCATTCAAGTAAAATTATAAACAAGGTAAAATCTGAGCCTATTTTCAATTTACTACAATTCCTTATAGGATTGCTCTTATGTGGTCAGCTCATATGCATTAACTGCAGCTGCCTAGAAGCGCCTAAAGCTGACAGCTCTTCAAGAACAGTTCTAGACCTAGGCCAACTCATTAGGCAGTTTTATCAGACTGCACTCAATTAATTATATTAAAATTTATATCTCTATTATTTTGTCACCTTCAGTTTAATCTCAAGTCTGGCAACTGAAAACACAGTTAAAATTTGAGCTAAGCCTTGGCTTGGCTGTACACAAATTGAACTAAATAAAATGATTTATGGCGGATTAGGGCGAACCTAATCGCGACATGTGGCTGAGCTAATATAACGTATACGCCGCATTATGTATACGCCACTGGGTGGAGCACGTAGCACGCGCAAGTGACAGAGCGAAGAGCAACTAAATGATTGAATGACTGAATGACTGAATGACTAACTGGCTGACTATCAGCGGCAGCACATTTATGTGCAAAGACTTAATTACAACAAAGCGCCACGTGACTGCCACATGTGTGTGGGGCAGGGATGCCAAGAAGGGCAACCGCTTGGGCGGCTGGCTGAGTGCCGCGCGGTGGGTTCGACGTCTAATCAAAACTTTTATTTGCATGAAATTAAATTCAAGCAATTGCACTTAATTTGCCAAACAGCCCGAACAGGCGGCAGGCGATGGTAAATAAACAGGAAGAGCTCCCAAAACACACACACACACACACATAAGAGAAAAGACTTACGCAGTCGAGAGCGAGCGAGAGAAAAACTGAAATTAAAAAGCAAACAAGCGTGGGAATGGGTCAGGAGATGCGGGTGTATGGCCAGAGAGAAAAGAACGCAAAAAAATTATGAGCACGCTGGAGAAATCTAAGATGCTCGCAGTAGCTGGGCGTGGCCGCCAGCGCCAGCCTTTTGAAGTAGGCACACACACACAGATACACGCCTAAGCATACACACACTCCAGACGCCCATAAATAAAGTATTTGATGTGCATGAAGTTAATGTCTTATTATACCCAAGTTGTCAAAAACAAGCAGAATACCCAAACACCCCAGCCAGCTGAGGCAGCCAAAGTAGTTAAATGCTGCCTGTTAAAGTCTGTTTAATGTGTGTGTGCGTGTGTGTGTGGGCGTGGATTTTATTAACTTGAGCTGCAGACGCGCTGTGCCCGTGCTTTGATTTGGCTAAAGAGCAGCCAGCGCAGCCAGCGCAGCCTGCTTAATGATAACAAACTCAACACAAGTGATAACGCGTCAAATTACCAAATGTGTGCGTGTGTGTGTGTGCGTGTGTGTATACCTTGTTTGTGGTGCGCAGCAGGCGTGGCTTGGTTAGCCACCCAGTGCCGTCGCGGGTGTTGTAAATACAATCAATGAATTTCAACTGGTTGTCTTGGCTTTGCATAACCCGAACCTCTGCTTCACCCACACACGCAATTGTCAGATGTGTGTGCGTGTGTGTGTGTGTGTGTTCGCTTGGCGAAAACGAAATTAGGCAAATTTAATGAATTTATGCTGGTGGCGTCTCCTTTGTAATCTGAGTGCGCGCGCAGCAAAGTAAGTGACCTGCTTCCTTGTCTTTTAAGTGGCTTCACTTCTGGGCCTGAGCAGGTTACCAGGAAATATAATATGCTCTCTCCCTCTGCCTCTCTCCCTCTCTCCCCCTCTCTTTCTCTTTCTGCCTGTGTGTGCAGTGAGGTTAGTGGACTAGCAGCAATTTGCTAGCATTCGTTAGGCTATAAATGAGCCGGGGTGGTCCAAGTGTATGAATGCGGCTGGTTAATGCCGCTCGGGGAGGTATTAACTGGAATAACATTTGTGGCCATAAGGCCGTGCACAAGGATGCGTATAAGGATCTGATCTTTAAGCATGTCAATACTTGATTTCCAGGAACATAAAAGTAAGAGTACAAATAGAAGGAGACTTATATGAGACTATAATTCTTATTTATGTTTTACACCAATTTCATATAATTTTTTTGATCTCTGAATTTTGTTACACGAATATCATTTAGGGAAATATTTAAAATATTTTATTACAGCTTTAAACAGTTAATTCGGTGGGCTTTGGTTATATAAGTTTTATAAGCTTTTCTAAAAAATTTCCGTAAGCCCATAAATTAGATAAAAAACAAGTTTTAAAATTATAATTTAATAAAATGCAGGGTATTTCAAGTCAGTCAACTGTTAATATTATATAAGTTTCTTAAGTCTAAATCCGACTCAAAGAAATCACATTTTGGAGAGATATGGTAACAACTTTAGAGTGCAGGGTATTTTCTAGTGAGTCAACTGATATGGCACAACCTTATTCTTGGGCGTAGAACTCAGTGAAATGGAAATTTAAAAAGGAAAGTATTTAAAAATAAAGTAAACACTTTAAAGTGCAGGGTATTTCAAGTCAGTAAACTATTAATATATGTTACTTAAGTCTAAATCCGACTCAAAGAAATCACATTTTGAAGAGATATAGTAACTACTCTACAGGGTATTTTCTAGTCAGTCAACTGATATGACACAGCCTTGTTCATGGTGTGAAATGAAAATTTAAAAAGGAAAGTATTTAAAAATTAAGTAGACACTGTAAAGTGCAGGGTATTTCAAGTCAGTAAATCTAAATCCAATTCAAAGAAATCACATTTTGAAGAGATATAGTAACTTCTCTACAGGGTATTTTCTAGTCAATCAACTAATGATATGAAGCTAAAAGACCTTAAAATTATGTAAGTAAAATGGAAAATATATTAAGTTTTGTCAGAGAAAAGATTATTGCTTGATCTCAACCGTATTCAGTTGATTAAAAACTCGAATTATTTATTCATTACATGCACAATTTTTAATTGTTGAAGACATTGAGTAAAGGTAAACATTTAACTAAACTGTACTAGATGTAGTAAGTTTGCTTTTTCGCTCAAGCCGTTTGATTCGGCGGATACGCATCAGCGTTGTGGGTCTGTAACGATGCCACATGAGATACAACTTATCCACATAGGGATAAGTTGGATTGTCGCCGAACAGCTTGACCAGAGCGTCAACAAACACAGGACCGTAACCCATTTCCCAGGTTTTTTTATCGGCCGCATACTTCAGGTAACGCAGAAAGTATAAATTGATCCAATTTGTAATTGTCAGATACAGGGGCATCACGTACTTGTACACCAGCCAATAGCCAACGATAGGCGGAAAGTAGATGGGGTGGAATCCCGACGCCTCATAGAGAACCGTCTGCCGATAGACGGTGCCGAAAATTAGGAAATATATGAGCAAAGTAGTGTGGATGACGATGAATGCTTGCAGAACATGAACCTGACGCCAATGGCACATTTCGTGAGCAATATACGCGACCAGCTGATTGTTCTGCAAGCCTTTTCCGACCTCATCCGGATGTAACAATTCTGAGGCGGGCTTGCCCTGGTTAAATATCAGTGTTTTCATTATGTAGACGCGCTTGTAGAAGCAACAGCCCCAGACATAGGCCGTGGCAGACATGCTGTGAAAGGTTCTTACAATGTGTATAGACTCGGGCCTGAATCCAAACGTCTTTAATACATCCTTTAAAATATGTTGCAAGTCAGCGACGGCCGCTGGGTCTTTGACCTTCGCGCCAAGCAAGGGCAGGCCAAAAACACAGAACGCAATAAGCGCTATGGCCGATAGAAGGATCAGAAGACTCCAAATCCAGAGCCAAAACCACGTCTTGCCGGTTTTTTCGATTTCCAAAAAGATCGCAGTTAGCGGAACAAGACCCAGCTGCAGAATAACGAACAGCAGGGGGAACGAGCACAGCAAGCCCACCAAGGGCAGCGACTTCTCCTGACGTGGATCGTACCATGGTGCCAGGAAGAATCTGCTGTATAAGATCTCTGGCAGCCTTCGCAGAACCATATAGCCACTGAACGCCGCCACAAATGCAATGCTCTGCCAAATCAGATCATCGACAATGCTGTACGTATTGATGATTAAACGCCAAATAGCTGGAAGGATGCAAAAGTACAGTTCCATGCAGCTCAGTATGGCATCGAAGATGTATTCTACCATCTTATACTCCGCAGTGTACATTTCCTCGATCTTGGCCGTTTCGAATTGCTCAATTGACATTACATTTGCCAGTTCAGGCGGCGGTTCGTCGTAAGTGGTGCACAAGCGTATCTGGCGCCAACACAGATACACGTGGAACAAGTTGCGCAGGGTGTTCATCGTGGCGAGCATGTGCCGTAGCAGAACCGGATCGTATAAGGACCAGTGTTCGGGCGTCAGTTGTACGCCTATCCCACTATCCTTCGGTATAACCATCGGCTGCCCCTGCATGGGATCCTGGTATAGAGCGTACGACATGCCACAAATTTTACTTTTCTGTGACACGCCAAACTGGGCGAGTTTTCAAAAATAGTTTTTTTTATTTGCCAAGTTTTCTAGTTTGACTTTTCATGTCTCCGTTTCTCTCACAATAATTGCTTGAAAATCACTTGGAGTAATCCAAACATATATCTTTCATAATATATATTTGTTCTTTCAAGTTCTATTATAGTAAAATGTAATCTTCCTTGGCAAAATTTAACATTAAATCCCTATTTTGCACGCTGTTACACAATTGAAGTTATTTGAACTCGGTCTTTACTTATTTCCTTTGCTTTGTCCTTTTATTATTGTTCAATAGGCCCTCACCCACCTTCAACGTCCCTTCCCACACCCACACTAACAGCCAACGCCTGCAAACGAAACATCATAAGAATTTTGAGCGACAGGCGATAAATTCCAAAATATCCCCAATCCGTCGCTCCACTTCTGTCGCAAGTGGCTTCATTGCGCCTAAATGTGGTGTCAGGCACGGTCGTCGCTGCCCAGCATCGAGTCGGCACAAGTTCCTTATCTGGCCATTGGACGCCCCACACCCCACGCCTGACAGCGTCGCAATGCTTTTACACTTAACGCCGACTCTTCCTCAATATTGTGGAATTTCCGTTTAAGCTTTAATTGAAAATTGCAGACTTCGATTCGGTTGTAAGTAGGTTTACACATATTTATTTTCCAAAATAACATTAAGTTGAATGAGAGAAATACTCTCCTTGTACATACACTGCATAATTCTTTTCTTATCCTTTGTATTTGTTTCTGTATTATGTGTATTCATTTTAGTTATTGGTTGTGCCATAAAAGGTATCCAAAAGTAAATTTAAGAGTAGGAGCCTCTTGCTCCGTGTCATCATATTCATCATAAAAGGGAACGACGGGAATGATCCTTTGCTCTTGTTCTTTGCCTTACACACGACGCGCTTCGTTTTAGTTTTTGTTTAATAAGTGATATATTGTATTAAATTAAAAGTTTTATCACATCATATTTTAAAAAATTGTTTTGCAATTTCGTAAATAGTGCTCTTGTGTTTTGGGTTCTTTCTCTTAGTGGGGTAAAAGCGTCAAATAATTTACAAGTTGCTAACATAAAATGCTATGTTGTAATTGGTTGTTGTTATGAGTTATTTGAGAAAGCACAATCAGCTAACCCCGTTATACAGTGGGTTATCCGCTGTCTTTCACAGAAACTAATAAGAGTTAGGGAGAGTTGTACGAAAACTTAATTTGTAGCTATTACTTAAATTAAACTTAAGTTCTAGGAGCTACTGCTTCTCATTTGCTATTCAAATCAACTGATGCTAAATATTAGTAAGTTGCTGTTTAGCTTAATCGAAGCGCGTGTGTCGACCGCCGCCTTCTCCGCCGTTCCGGTTTCCAAAGCCTCCATCACCGCCACCACCGCCGCCAAAGTTGCGTCCATTGCTAATGCTGCCCTTCTTGAAACCGCCGCCTCCAAAACGACCGCCGCCGCCACCACCACCATAGCGGGAGCGTCCGCCGCCGCCGTCGTAGCGCGAGTTCCGGGCCAGATTTTCCAGAGCGGGATTTATTTCCTGCAAGGCAACGAAAAAATTAATTTATAATATACCGAAAAGTTTTCAATGCCCATCCATATACATACTTGATTAGCCTCTCTCAGCACATCGACTAACGCCTTGGCCTGCTTGGCATTGTTTTTCGTGAAGAAGGCAAATGATGTGCCCTTGGTATTTGAACGTCCTGTGCGTCCGATGCGATGTATATAATCCTCGCTGTTTTGTGGATAGTCAAAGTTGATGACATACTTAATGCCATCGACGTCTGTATTTGCGTGTACAATATGTGAGAAATAGATGAATGCATACAGATACATAGATTAGTATTATAGAGACTAGATAAATGGTTAACTTCAAGGCTTATTTTCTAAAACAGTTTTTTATTGCCAAATGGATTTTTCTCTTTGCTTTGTGCAACAACAATTATAAGCGTTTTCCGAGACGTTTTACACTTTGAATACACTTGTCTTTTTTGATTCGCTTTTTGAGTAAAGTTTATTTGGGTATATTTTTTTGGTTTAAGTTTTCAGTTTTTATTTTTGTTTTGGGTATTGTTTTTATTTTTGTTTACGAAAAAAAGAAAATGTTTCAAAATGTACGTTACCTTCTTGGTGCTACAAATTGTTTCACTCAATTTTCTCTCAATCAAAATCTCAAAGTTTTGTGGCGCTGCGCAGCTCGTGGTCCAAACTCTCTCCAAGCACACAAAAATTAATGGTCGCATGGCGAAGCGAGCGGCGAGAGTTTGTTGCAATGAGCCGCGTGCACCTCATCTGACTCGACACGACTTAGACTTGGGGGTCGGGCGGGCTGGCGAACGAGTGTGCCAGGCCAACCGGTAGCCGCATCCTGCTCCTCCATATTTATAGAAGAGAGGCGCGACTATGTATATTTATCTATTCAGTTATACAGTTTTTATGTTGACCAGGGAGAACGTTTTAACAAGCGTCGGTGTCCAGGATCCGTTGCCACCCACTAGACGACGGGCAATGGCGGCGCAGGCAGACAGACAGGCAGTGGGCGTGGCGACCCATTTGGTAGCTAGGCACTCAGCAGCAGCAGCAGCAGCAGCGACGAAAACGGCGAACAAGCGAAGAACACACAGCTCTCCATAACGGCTGATATCAAAATACAACTCGTATTTCTTCGTCCATACATATCCACAGCGTGCTCTCTGGTGATTTGTAGAGTGGCAATGTATGTGGGTGTTTGAGTGTGTTTGTGCAAGTGTGTGCGCCGCGCATGGTGCATCCTCTTGGGCTGAGTTTGTGGTATATTCTGTGTTACTGTCGCTGCCTGGCTGATGTTTGTGGTGTGTGCTTAGCAACCGGCCGGCCGACGACATTAGCGCCTCTCAAGATGTTTTGCCTGCTTTGTAGCGCCGCCTTCTCTTATTTTAATTATTAATTTTTTTGGTGACAACAAGATGTGCCCCTTGACCGCTTGCTTGTTGATTTGGTTCGTTCTTGGTTTGGTTTGATTGGTTGGTTGGTTGGTTGTTAGGTTGACTCAACGCTCTTTCTCGAAGAGAGGACTGCAGAGGCCACGTATGATGCATGATGTTGGGGATATATGAATGCCGGTCTCGTATGCGAATGCGTTTACGTTGATCGCGCGTCCGTGTGGCAGCCAAGCGAACACGACTCGATCAGGTGAACTTTATCTGTTACCTTTTGCTCATTATTTAAACAAAAAACTTGTAAAATTCAGTTTTTCTCAGAGTTAGATGAACAAAAAGTCGCTCATGTTACGAGTACAGGTTTTGGGACTTGCCGCTTGTCTCTTATCCTCCCCATCATACTACAATAAACGGCCTCTGTAAACGAGAAAGAAGGAAGAGAGAGAGAGAGAGAGAGAGACAAAGAAAGAGAGAGGCAGAGAGAGACACGCACACAGACATCGTGTGTGCATAACACAAGGCACATTTATCATTTACGGTGTCAGGGGGTTGGCGCCAATATTGAGCCAGGGGACGGGTGCAAGGGTTGGGGCGGGTTGGTGATGGTGGGGGTGAGGAATAAAAATTTATGTTGATTATTAAAGTTTTAGCTTTGTTGGGAGCTTACGACTAAAAACTGTTTGTATATATATATTTAAAAAAAAGACTTCGCGCACGCTAATTTGTTATTGTCTTCAAGTCTAAATGCAGTTGATGAGGGGGCGGGAACTTTGAAGTTGCTTGGATAGGCAATATCTAGTGAAAACTACAGTGAAAGCTCTATTGACGAAAGGCTTAGTCAAACATTTTTGTTTTTTTTTTTTTTATTATAAATATTACCAAAATCGACTTTAATTATTCTAAACTATTTCCGTTAAAGCGAGCTTTCACTGTGCGAATGTGTTATGTGCGTGTTAAGCAAATGTGTAATTGTGTTCGTGTGTGTATCTTTTGGCAGCCGGCGGATACGCTACTATAATGTAATTCAATCATGCTGTTAAGCATGTTTTGAGTTATAAAAACTTACCCAAGCCACGGGCCGCCACATCGGTGGCCACCAGAATGTTGGACTTGCCCGAGCGGAACTCGCGCAAAACAAAGTCACGTTCCGACTGTGATTTGTCGCCGTGGATAGCTCCGCAGCGCACGCCAAAGCTGCGTATGAAACGCACAAGATTATCCACGCGACGTTTGGTCTCTACAAATATAATTATCTTTCCGGGATTCTCGCTTGTATCATAAATGTCCGACAGTAGGCTCTTGAGTCTAGTTTAAAATACAGAACGAGCATCAGCATACGGCAGAATCTTATGGAAAGTTTTGATACTTACTTGTCCTCCTTGCTGAATTCATCACAAACATCAACAACCTGGCGAATGTTGTGATTGGCGGACAGTTCCAATGAACCAATATTGATCTGTATGTAGTTGCCAAGGAAATCCTCTGCCAACTGTTTCACCTCTTTGGGCCAGGTTGCGCTCCACATGAGTGTTTGCCGGTCGGGACGAATCTGTGACACAATCTTGCGTATCTGCGGTTCGAAACCCATGTCCAACATTCTATCAGCCTCATCCAGGACCAGATATGTGCAACGCTTCAAATTGGTAGCGCCCGCCGACAGGAAATCAATGAGACGACCGGGTGTAGCAATAACAATCTCACAACCACGCTGTAGATCACGCATTTGGCCTCCCTTCGGGGCGCCGCCAAAGACGCATGTGTTGCGCACATAGGAGGACGAACCGAACTCGGTGGCCACCTGCTGAATCTGTTGAGCCAGCTCACGGGTAGGTGCCAGCACCAAGGCAATGGGGCCATCACCACGCTGTAGTGGCTGCTGGTTATTGATGTGTACAATAGCGGGTAGGATGTAGCCGAGCGTCTTGCCCGAACCCGTCTTGGCAATGCCCACGAAGTTGGCACCGCTCATTGCAATTGGCCAGCCCTGGGCCTGAATTGGTGTAGGAGACTTGTAGCCCTGGCGACGGATCTCCTTCACCACGTAGTCGGGCAGATAGGCCTCCGAGAAGTCCTGTATGGGGTTAGCTGCCTGACCGCGAACTGTGATCTCTTGCTCATCGCGATAGCGCTGCACCTCATAGGGTGATCGATTGGCTACCGTGG